TTGTTGTGGCTTGCAAATACATACATATAATTCCCTCAAATATTGTTTGCTGATAGCCGACACAGACAGTTTCGTTGCATCGAAAGTACTCACTGTAATGAGGGATTCTGAGACAACGGGCAAAGGACTACCACTCAAGTCATTTCCAGGCATTTCTGCCTTTCCTGTGGGATGCCCGTTCGACACATTTGTTTGAGCAAATATTTGAAAACTGAGGTGGATGGTCTCCGTTCGTGCAAACCAATCCGAATTAATCGGATCCGGGCGCATGCGCTGGATTTCGCCGTAATTCAGTTTTTCGCTTATGTGAAATTGTATAAAAAAAGAGTGGGTCCGGCAATTTGTCGCAGTTCGTCTTAGGAAATGAGATGAGATGATTTTAAATAGGCCGTGGGTCTGGAAGCTCCCATCTGTTCAAGTTTCTGCTGCAGAGCTGATCTTGAGGTAAGTGAGGTAACTTTTATGCTTAGGTTTGCAAGTTACGCGCTGTTGCTCACCCTGCTTATAATCATCTCAAAATGAACGTCTGCTCGGTGGGTGAGATGGCACGTGTAATATTGGACGATCGGTGAATACTGATTAGCGGCATGTGGTGTAGAATTGCAGATCCTAACGTAAGCTGTTTGCGGATTGTGAGTTTAGGTCTCGTGCTGCGTAGCGGGTATGTTCTGGAACAAACGATCTCATATAAAACTGGTTCTTTAGGAGCTGGTAATTCATGTGAGAGTGAATAGACGAGTTGCACTTGGTTGGGCTTGTGGTATCTTGCTTCGCGGAGAAACACTTCATGAACATTACTTTCACTGTTTTCTAATTGGCAGAATTTTTTTTCTGGAAAAACTTCATATCATGCGATTTGCAGTGAACGGATTGTTGTGCTACTGGAAAAAGTCGTGGGATATTCGCGCAGGCTGTAATAATATTGGACGTAGGATGAGCAGCGGCAATATTCCGTTGGAAGGTCGTACACGATTGCCTGGCAAAGTACAAGACTGCATTCAGGATTGTGGATTAATTGTTGCGCACATACAGTCGGCGTCGCATTCAAACGAAGTTGGTTCTTGCTAAATTCTTTTTTTCAGCATTTTTTCCAACGAAGCTGGGTTAGAGTGGGAGCGAGAAGTCATGCGGGAAAGGTAAAGCCAAAATTCAGCAAGCGTTAAATTACGTCTAAAAAGGAAAAAAGTGTCTGATTTTAAAAAATAAATCCGGAAATAACTAAAAGGCTCTTCCGTTCTACGTTTTTCGGAAGTTTGATACTGATTATAAAGAATTTTATTTCACCCTATCTGAGTCGAATATGTCGGTAGTAGTCAGTAAACATACTTTTGAAAAGTAAATCTTTTAGGCCTTCTATGTGTAGAAATGTAGAAACAAATTTATTATATAAAACTGGGCCGCTCAGAGGACGCCTGAGAGTGCAGCTGTAATGTGCTACTTTACTCAGCTGATGCGGCAGCACGAGCGGAATAATATTTTTCTCTCTTTTAAATCATATCACTATTGCGCAGCTGATTCCACTTTTTGGACGCTGACGCATAATCAATGAATTCAAATTTTTTTGAGATCTCAAATTTGGATTATTAAACATAAGAAATTATAAAATACAATAAAATCTACAACCGATATGCGCCTGATGCACCCTCACGTGAAACCTCCTCGCTCCTAATCTTATCATAAAAATTGGCCAACGCACGGGCTGCCCGTGCGAAGATGCGTTTTTTGCAGAGTTCCCCG